AATTTTAAAAACATCTGTTTTGTGTGGTTAAGCCTAAACCTAAGTGAGGAGATAATTTAGTTAATCAAAATAGTTTATTCTTCAGTCATCCTGGGTGATATTTTCACTTTTTTATTATATCTTACTTGTTTACTAATAGCTTCTTAAAGATCAGATTTATGGAGTATAAAATCTACTTCAGATTTTTTTAAAAAGCCAGACTAAAGAGACATACAAGGCTTCATGGTGAGTTCAATCCTGGAGAGAAGAGGGGACGGTAGGGGGAGCATCATTAAAACTGTTGTCCGTTGCAGAAATTATCATCAACTCATGTTTAGGACCATTGTAAGATGACTGATTAAGCAGCCATACTCCACGTGTGGGTTTCTGCTGGAAATTTCTACAGCTGGATGTGGGGAGGGGACCACAGACTGTAGCACTGTGAATGTGCGGTACTCAGAGTCTGAATGCTCACTGCACAACGGGGTGTCCAGCTCACCCTGTGTGTGTGATCCCACTAAATTCTCTAGGTGCCATCGCTCCCACACTGGTTGCTCTGTGGTCTTGAGGGTTGGGGTCCTGTCTGCCTCTCTCTGGTCTTGAACCTTCTGCATCTCTCTTATCACACCAACCCCCTTGTTTGGGATAAGTGTATCCTTCATTACCTTCCTAGGCACACTGTCAGAAAATACCTGTTCTGCTCAAAATCGAAAAAGGTGCTTCTCTGGGAATAGATTTCTGTGTTGGAAATCTTTTCTCCCACAGTTTTGGAAGAAGTATTCTCCATTTTACATATGCTCTTGTTTGGATCTCTTGAAGCTTTTAGAATTTCTCTCTGGTGTTCCAAAGGGTCACAGTGGTGTGTCCTGTTTTCTTTTCTTTTTTTTTTTGTACCAGGGATTGAACTTGGGACCTTGAGCTTTCGAGGCAGATGGCAGTGGAACCACTGAGCTAAATCCCCGGCCCTAGGTCTTTCTTTTCTTTGTGCATTTTGCTCAATACTAAGTGGGCCCTTTTGCTGTCACACTTCATTTCCTAGCATTCAGGGGACATTTCTTAAATACTTCTTTGACAATTTTTTTCTTTCTATCTTTTTTTGCCTCTCCCTGGGATCCTGTATATTTGGATGATGACTTTTAGATTTTATCCTGTAATTTCCTTATTTGAGGAATGCTGTAGTACATTCTTTTGTATTTTAGCTCTACTTTCTGAGAAATTTCTTTAACACTATCTTTCAACTTCATCTTAAATGTCTGATTTCAGTAATTTTTTTAATTTCAGAGAGATCTCCTGTTCTCTCCTTGCTGCTTATTGTTTTTGGAGTCATTCATTCTGTATGGCAGATGTCATGTATTCTCTTATCTCTGAGAATATTACTTGGTCTTTCTGAAGTACTTTTCCTGCAGCGTGGCTTGATTCTCACTCCTCTGACTACCTTCTCTATGTGTCATCGTGAACTTCACTCAGATATGGTAGTCACTCCAAGTTTCTTACATTTGCTGTATGCCTGGTACCTCTTTTTCCATACCTTTATTTTTAATTTATCTATGGACCTATTTAAAGTTTATCTTCTGAAAGCAAAGAGCACCTCACACTGGGATTGTGGTCTCTGAGTGCTGCCCCCCCATTGAGTTTACCCGGCTTGTGGAGGACAGGGTCACCTGTGGAGCAGAGAGACAAACGCGGAAGCCAGGCTGGTCCACCATGCATGCAGACATGGGGAATGATGGGGACCAAAAGCACATTAGGACTTGCTTGAAGTGACTCCCAGCAGCCCGCTCTCGGACAATGTGGGTAACAAAGTGAGAGGCAGCAGTGGCTTATACTTCAGAGGGTAAAGTAACATTCCTGAGTCCATGCTGCTGTAAATAATTCAATGCATAAATGGGAGGAGGAGGAACGCGCTTTTTTCAGCAGAATTCCAATCAATTCATGTAGAAGAAGTAATGGCAATGCCAGAAATAGAGAATTACCACTTGGCAACTATGACATCAGTAATTACTGCGAGCAAGCTCATCGCCTGCTGTTAATGTTAGTGAAAAAGAGTGTGATGAGAAGCGGGATATATACACAGCTTTGAAGTGTTTGTCCCACAGACTCTGCTAATTACAGAGGAGAAGATTCTGACCTTAGAGGAGGGAGTCTAGCAGACACACAGGACAACTAGAGTTTCGGTCCCCAGTAACAGGACAGACTGGCCCCCTGTGACTTCTGCCGTGATGCCCTGTGAAGAATGCAAGCATCACTTCCATGATATTGTGGAAAATATGTACATCTAAATTCAACCCAAAGGAAATACTCAAATTGGGGGGGCTCTTCTATACCTATCCAGTACTGTTCTTTAAAAATGCCAAGGTATGAAAGAATAGTCAGGCATGGTGGCACATGACTGCAATCCCAGCACTTGGGAGGCTGAAGCAGGAGGATACCCACAAGTTTGAGGCTGGCCTGGGCTACATAGTTCAAGGCCAGCCTGGAGTGGGACCCTGTATCAAGAAAACAAAACAAATAAAAAACGAACAAACAAAAAGACTGAGCTATTTTTTAGATGAAAAGGATCTAAGGAGACAGGACAACTAAGTGCAATGTGTGATTTTGAATTGGACCCTGGACTTAGTGACATTTGAGTCTGATCTGTGCATGAGGTGGTGGTATCCTGATTCCAATCACTGTATTATGGCTATGTAAGGTATTAATGTTTGGAGAGCTGGATGAAAAGTATAGATGAGTTCTTAGCACTATTTCTGTAACTTTTTGTGAATCTGAAATTATTCCAAAATAAAAATGAAAAAGGGTTAATCAAAATATGTTAATATAAAAATAGTGATGCGTATCTTCTGTAGGCAGTACACAGTTAGGTCTTACATTCTTTCCAGTCTGACAGTCTGTCTTTAACTGAAGTATTTGGTTTGTCATCTTTAGTTCTTCAAATGTGCTATTTGTTTCTGTTTGTCCCATCTGTTTTTTCTTTTCTTCTTCCTGCTTCATTTTGGATTGATCAAGTATTTGTAATTTTTCATTTTAATTCTTCTCTTTGCTTTTTAACTCTGATTAATTCATGGTTACCTCACCTAAGTCCTACCACTTCCTATAAAATTCGTTTACCCCAGTGTCTCGTGATGTTAGGATTACAATGAGGTGAGTGTTAAACTGCTGCACAGAGCGTGTTGTTTCTGTAAAGAGCAGTGTGTCCTGAGAGTGGAGGGTGGTCTTCTGTCTTTAAGCACATACTTGTTCACCATTTTGATTCCCTCACTCCCCCTCTGGCCCTATGTGCAGGGAGCATTTGCAGCCTCTTTGCCCAGTGGCCCCTTGTTTTCCTTCGCTCTAAAGGGCATCTCTCACTGTACAGAGAGCGAGGTGCTTTTCTCTTTCTGGCAGATGCTGCCCAGTCCTCTCCCAGCTCCCTCATATTTGATGGGTTGCCAGCTACCATGTGACTTGCTACTTGCTCCCTGTGTTTTTTGGGTGGTTTTTTTGTTTTTTTTTTTTTTTTGGTACAAACTTGGGTCCTTGAGTTTGCAAGGCAGGCAGAAGAACCACAGAGCTAAATCCCCAGCCCCCTGTGTGTTGTTTTTAATGTTTCCAAGATTTTGTTCATGTTCCAGCATTCAACAGTGTTGTACTTATTTGTGTTCTTTATATTTATACTGCTTCTGCTCACTGAGCTTATTGAATATGTAGGTTTCCGTCTTTCCAAATGTGAAAACATGTACCTGCCTCTTCCCCTTAAATATTTTTTTGCCTTCTTTCTGCACTGGCACTCTCTTTCTGGGGTTCCAGTTACACATACAGTATACTGCGTGGAAAGTTTCCACAAATCCTTTTTATTTTTCCTTTTGGATAAATTCAGTTAACCTAGCTATGAGTTCATAAATTGTCCCCAAGACATCTTCAGTCACACAGTAAGCCTATCCACTGACTTTTACTTCACGTACTGTGTTTTTCCGTCTAAAATATACATTGGGTTCATTATTATGGCTTTGGTCTCACTGCTGAGATTTCTCATTTGTTCATTCATGAAGACTTTATTTTCTTTTTGTGTCTTTGAATATCCTTGTAGTAGCTGCTTTAATTTCCCGGTCTGCTTATTCCATGGTCTTGCATTCCATCTTGTGGTTGGTTTCTGTTAATTACTTTTTCTCTTGATACTGCTTATACTTTTCCATTTCTTTGTGAGTGTAGTGATTTTACTGTGAGCTCGTTGGGGTATCTCATACATAATGAAGACAGAGATTTGGTTGTCTTTCCCTGAGGAGCCGGTTTGTTCTAGTGAATGAACTGGGCTGGACTCCCAGTACTGTCTCTCCTAAGTGACACAGGTCCTCTGGAGATGAGGTCTCTCTTGGGGACCTGACCCCCTGTGGATGTGGTCTTTCTTAAGGATGTGGACCCCCCCACGGGAACGTGGTCTGTCCTGAGGACGTGGACCCCCTGAGGACTGGACCAGGTGCTGCCTTCAGCCCTCTCAGCCTTGAAGCTCTTGCCTTTCCTGTGCAGTTCAGGGATAAACTAGAAATTTGTCAAGACTTGGACAGAGATTTAGAAGGCGCTTGGGCCATCTCCCTTTCTGGGGTTCTCTCTCATTTTCCAGGTATGTTTTTAACCCCACTTTTCATCTTCTGACTCCCGGAACCAATAGCACTGTGATTTCTGGCTCACGTGTCAGGCTTCGTGTCAAGTGGGCCTGGAACACAAGCTCCCTAGGGTGGTCCCTTCTTTCCAGGCTGCATTCCCTCAGATTTCTGCTTGGTTTTGGTTGCTCTGTTGTGCTAAAATCCTTTTTTTACATTTTGTCTGAGCTACTACTGTTTGCACAAGGGTTAATTGAACACATGCTACTCTGCCATTGGCAGAAGTCATACACCCTACTTTTCACTTTCTGTTTTCCACTGATGATACATAGTATTAAATAGGAAAAAACCCTACGTTTCTGTGAGTAATGGCAATATCTCATCAAAACCTTCTAAAGGAATGGAGCATATTACTAATCACTAATCTTATTTTTTCTTCTTTTATAGACAAGAGATGATTTCCTAGGTCAAGTGGATATTCCTCTTTATCCACTACCGGTTGGTATAGTTGTCTATAATTTCATTTTCTTGTGTTTATTCTTTTTGAAATGTAACAAATACTTACATATATGGTTAACGTAAAGATTTATAAAACTCATATACTTTTTTTACTCAGCATATTTTCTGAAAATCCATTTGAATTTTCCATGTCAGTCTTCTCTGTGAGCAGCTCCTTACCTCATCTGCAGCCCCGGAAGGCACAGAGGGCTGTGGAGTCCACTGGCCCCATGAGGGGTGGGAAGACGGGGTGGAGCGGTGGAGGACAACGGTCAGATTTCCGAACATTTCCGAACAACACATGACTAGATCAAGTGTCTGACATGGGATTTGACAAACAAAAGCAGAAAGTAAATAGTACAAGCTGAACTTGGAAGATAAAGGTGGTGTCTTAAGTAGGAAAAAGGAAGAGGAAAAGCCGAGTTTTTTGAAATACAAGAAATTTGGTTTTGGACATAGCAAATTCCAATAGAAACCTAGTACTGAAAAAAAAAAGGAAGAAGGGAGGGAGGAAGGGAGGGCAGGATCGGAGTATAGAAGCTGAGAGCCCCGGCAAGTTTGGGCCAGAGGCGAGGAGACAGGCAGGGGACGGGAAAGAGCTCGGTAGGTGCAGTCCCGAGACCCTGGAGCCATCTCACAGCAGAGGGGCACTGACTGCCGCACAGAAGAGCAGGTAATGAAGCCGACAGAGAGCTGCTTCGCTCCGAGGAGAGAGGCCTCCTCCTGGGCCTTGGTGGCCCATTCAGCCAGGCCTGCTGAGGTTGCTCACACCCCGCCTGAGGATGGCACCTTCCCCGGTCCCGCCTCCCCATTCCATCCCCACGCCGTCTCCGTCCCGCCAGCCTGCTGGCGACTGCAGTGCTGCTGCCTGCTCAGCTCAGTTCAGATCGCAAAAGTCACCAGTGGAACCATTGAGAACCAAAATCACACTGTCCTGCTTTAACTCCAGTGGTGCTTAGGTCACGGCTCACGAATGTTCTTAAGTATGGGTGTCTTTGTTAGAGTTGCCTCTTGAAAACCCATTGTTTTATTCTAGACAGAGAATCCAAGAATGCAGAGACCGTACACATTTAAGGACTTTGTTCTTCACCCAAGAAGGTCAGTAGTGCATTCCATGTTTTATCTCTGGCTAAACCTTGCTGTAGCCTCTTTGGAAATTCAGGGTTTAAACCCTTGTACATAAGCTACCTCTGAAATATTACAATTTTTAAGCTTTATTGTTATTTCTGATTTAAAAATACCATTTGCACATTCTTAAGATACAGAACAGATCCTGTCCTTTGGGAAAGATTTGTTCCAACATGAGACCAGAAGGCTGAAACGCACTGTGATATGTATTTTGTATCTTAAGCTGTATACAGTTTTGTCATACTATATTTTTAAAAATTCACAGACAGTATTTAAAACAAAGGTCCAATTTGACATGCACACAGCCAATTTCAGGGGAATCTAACTACATTTTGCATACTTTAATTTTTAAACAGTATTTTAGAAGTATTTAGAGAAAATCACATAAATGGGAGCTGGAATTTAAAACCCAAATAACAAACTTGTCATTCCATTTTCCTATATTGAATTACTTGATTTTTGTCGAAATTCTAAAACTCCTTTTAATCTTCTATACCACACAGTCAAGTAAAATCTAATCAAAATGTGTGTGGATTTACTGTCAAAGAGCTCAGAGTCAGCAAAAAAAGGACATCTGCGAAAACAATACTATTTCTCTTGCTTTTTAAACTAGAAAATGCCTTTGAAAAATGGAACTTAGCAAAATTTTTCACTTAAAACGACTTCTTTAAATTATTCTTCGTAATGTAAATATAAAAACCAAATGAAAGAGTGCTGTGACTGTTTGTGTTCACTCTGCGTAAGAGACATCACATATTTAATTGAGTAGGCGTCTCTTCTTCCTTTAATTCTAGACTGATTGTGGCATCCACACACCGGCAATACTGACCAGACACTCTTCTCTTGTTTGAGTGTGCTAGTGGCATGCTTTTCGATTTGTGAGATGCTTTTAACTATCTTTCTTTTGCAAATAACACTTTATGTCTTCTGTATCTGCGCTGGATATGGTCTCAAGTGCAGAAAGACCTTTATTCAGATAGGAAATGTACTGTGTTCCCATACTTGAGGCTACTAAGTCAACTGTGGGCTCATTTTCAGCTTGAGAAGACAGGACACACAGCTGTGGAGACGTTTTCTGCAGGATGTTGCCTGATCCATTCCTTACCCGCCTTTCCAGCAGCAGGCAGCATATCACCCTCACCTAAGGAAGCCACGTTAGTGGCACTGGAAACAAGAGCCAAGGGTTCTTCCTGACTGCTCAGGACAGGGAACACTAAATTTGCCAAATCCAGGAGAACAACTAAAACAATGGGGAGTGGGTAACTGCTTGGAGATGAAATAAACTGTCTAGAAAGGTAAAGGTAGTTCATTACATAACTGCTATCTGTAAAATCACCAAAAAAGAAACTATATAGAAAGCTAGGAACAATAAGTATTTCTTAAGTAAACCTTAGGATGCTTGAATTGGTGGAGACAATAGAAGAGATAAAATTAAGTTTTAGGAGTTTATGAAAGTCAGTTTTTTAAAAAAGATTTAAAACTTCACCGCCATGGACAGGAGCCTTTAGAGAAGTCACACAGAGTGAGGACAATGAGGAGACCCTCAGGCTGTCGCCCTGCACTCTGTGACGGTCAGCGTCCCATGCATGTCTCTGACAGCATCTTTCCCTGTCCCCGAAGGTCTGTGTGGAGAAGCTGAAGCTCTGACTTTGCACAGTCCTGTCATTTGGACTGTCCCCATCCCTACCGCCCCTGGAGGGGTCTTGCACCTGGTCACGTGAACTCCTGCCGTTCCCTGAACTAACCCAGCCTCTCTGGGTTCCCAGCTCTTCCTTTCCTTCCACTGCCAAGGATCAGACTCCTCCCCAGCCTCCCAGACGCAGGCCAGATACCAGCTCCTCCTGAAGCACTCCCGCTCCTTTACTTGAAGTTCCTCAGCCTCTGTTTTGTTTTGTTTGAGACAGGGTCTCGCTATGTAGTCCTGGGTGGCTTTGAACTCACTGTGTAGCCCAGGCTGGCGTCAGACTTGTGGCGATCCTCCTGCCGCAGCCCCCAGCTCAGCCTCTTTTCTGTAGCACAATTATGCATTACACGTGTTTTCTTTTCCTCCACCATCTACCGCTTTTCCTGAATGTCTTCTGCACTGGAACTTACCTTTCAGCTTCCTCTAAAAAATCCCTACTAGCAAGTAGGTGTTCAGTAGACTTAATAAATAATACTTTCTGCCTAGTGTTAACCTTTTGCGAATAATTATTTTCTTTTCTACAGTCAGAAATCAAGAGTGAAAGGTTATCTGAGACTAAAAATGACTTATTTACCTAAAACCAGTGGCTCAGAAGATGACAATGCAGAGCAGGCTGAGGAATTAGAGGTGAGCTTTTATAAATATTTGGTTAAACTAAAAAGAAAATACCTAATTTTGTTGTGCTATATTTACTTTATTCAGTGAAATTGATGTTTGTATCAAAAATTATTTACTCAGACATTTATTTCCCCCAAGCACCAATTAACAGTTCCTTTTCTGCAGGTTTCTCTACAATGATGACCATCCTTGATAACCTTCTTAAAGTTAGGAAATTTCTTAGGAAATAGAGAATACAATTTTTATAAATGAACGCATGTATCATATTAAGTTATTTGGTGTTTGTAGTGCTTCAGAGTTTCCTAAAACCATGTCATGTTCTCTCTTAAAGCAAGTGTGTGATTTAGATTTGTAAGTTAAATATATGGACATTTTGAGGAGTCACTACATAAGGTCTTTTAGGACTCATAATTTCTGTTACTTTTCCTGCTGTGGGAAGCCTCAGGGAAGAGCAGAAAAAGTGGGAACGTCTGCGTGAGTAATGAAAAGTCATATTTACTTGACACTGTCCAGGATGAGACACAAGGAAAGTCCATGCCGAGTTCCGGGTAGCACTCCAGTGTGTGGGAGGCAGCCGCACCTCCGTCTCGGATGGAGGAGCCTGAGACGGAGGCCTCTCTGGAGGGGCTCCTCCTCTGGAGGGCCACAGGCTGTGCCCCGTGGCCTCTGGGGCTCTTCTTTCCTTAGGAGGGTTCGTGATCTGACATGGGGACAGACCCTGTCCACGAGGTCCCGAAAGGTGGGCTCATCCAGGGGGCCGCGTTTGTCCAGCGACACTGGCAGCGACACCCCACCTGTGGCACCCTGTGCTTCAGAGGGTCCTTCCCATGCTGTCTCAGCGGTCTTTCCCCTGTCTGGGCGTGTTTTGGTCTCTGCGTGACCTGGAACCGAGTGGTGTCCCCGAGGGCCGGACGCCCTGGTGTGGCCATGCACCAAGAGGAAGGCCACAGAGTAGGGGCAGATTTGCAGCACGACTCTCGGGGCTTTAAAGTGCTTTAAAATGGGTTTCACTTTGAGGGTTATGTATAATGATAGACAGAACAAGTTTTGTTTCCTCAACTCATAGAGTATAGGTGAAAACCCCTACTTTGGTGAGCAAAGGACATGTTATCCTCTCATGTCTCTGTTCACTTATTTGTTGTTTTGCTTTGTTTTTTGAGACAAGGTCTTACTATGTTGCCCGGGCTGCCTTGGGCTTCCAGAGTACTGAGGTACAGGCATATACCACCATACCCAACTTTATTACCTTTTCTTCCTGTTTGTTTTTCTCTGGTTTTTCATATAGTCAGTAGTTTTAGAGTTTTAAGATATTTATTGGGTAGAAGCTTGGTGCACAGGGTATCTCGCATAATGGAATTATGTTTGAAATGAAAAATGTCTACTATAAAGAAAGGATATTGCAGCTGGGCATGGTGGTGCACACCTTGGGAGGCTGAGGCAGGAGGATCGCTGTGAGTTCAAGGCCAGCCTGAACTGCATAGTGAGGCCATCTCAAAAACCACACACACACAAAAAGAAAGTATTTTAATAACTTTTTTAAATGAACAGCATCTCATTGCTTAGTAGCCTGCTCTGGGCTCTGCCCTCATGCGAAAATTGTAGCTCCTGTCCCACTTCCGGCTCAGGCCTACGGGCAGAGCTCTTCACCTCATGCTGCAGCCTTGAGTCCCACTGTGTTCAAGTCCCCACAACGCACCTTGTAATTTCAGGGGGCATAAGCGGTAGGAGATTATTTATGAAAGGCCCTAGGAATTCAAACACATGAGCTGTGCTTAGTGATCTTCTGGGTAGTTGAGACCTGAGAAGTCTCACCTGACATCTAGTTTGTAACCAAATGTATAAAATTGTGCTATCTGAAGCAAATAGTTGTAATTCTGAAGAGGCTCACTTGTGGGCAGCTTGTGTTCCCCAGTAAACTGTGCCTCTGACAGGCATTCGACTTTGTACCCCGTGCCACTCAGGGTCCACTGCTGGTGTTCTGTAAGGCTGGTGCTGATGTGTGTGGAGCTCCTTCTGCAGCACAGCTCTCTGGGTTTTTAAAATGCATTAGTGAGGTTTCACTTTGAGGAAGAACAACTGTACCCCCTCAAATTTTAAAAAGGATTTTTGAAAAGGTTCTAATAATTTAAATTTTTTTTCTTTAATATACTTGGATAGCAGAAAGCAGATCTTTAAGAGAGAAATCTTAGATTTTCTTTTGTTTTGTTTTTTGTGGTACTGGGGATTGACCTAGGGCCTTCTCACTGAGCTAACTTCTAGGCCTTTTCGTTTTTTTGGTTTTTGAGACAAAGTCTCAGTGGGTGACTAAGTTGCTTGGGCTAGATTTTGTAGTCAGACTTACAGAGATATTTGTTTGTATGCCCTTCAGGTTTGAGGTCGTATTCAACAGCTTCCCGTTCTTGGAATATATTTTTTAAATTTTCCAAAGTTTGTTCTAATACCTTTTGGGTTTATTCTCCAACATCTAAATATTATTTAGTCTAGCAGGATGTGGTGGTGCATGCCTGTAATCCCAGACTCTGGGAGGCTGAGTCAAAAGGGTCGAATAAAAAATAAAAATCCCCAATGTCACAAAAAATTAAGTAAAATAAAATAAATATTACTCAGTCTGAGTTAGGCGTGGTACAATGTATGGGCAGGAAGGCTGCTCGAACCCTGGAGTTTGAGGTCAGCCCGGGCAACAAAGCAAGACCCTGTCTCAGAAAGTACAGTTGTTACTCCATCTGTGACTTAGTAAGGTATGAGGTGGGGAGCCAATTGTAAACATGAAGGGGTACCCACTTCCCAAGCAGTTAGTCACCTTCCCACAGATTTGAAATTTATCATCTGCTGAATCCCTAAGCATCTGAGTCTTCCCGGTCCATTCTTTTGAGCCATCTGTCTTGGCACGCATCGTGGCCTCACAGGGCTTACTCCTCTTTTGTTTTTGTGGTGCTGGGAATTGAGCCCAGGACCTTTGCACTTTCCCCAGCCCTTTCTTTCTTATTATTTTGAGATTGGGTCTCACTAAGTCACAAGTTACAAAGGCTGAGCTTGAACCTGAGATCCTCCTGCCTCAGCCTCCCAGAGTGTTGGGATGACAAATGTGTCTCCACGGTTGGTTTTAACAATTACAGTTTATAATGTTTTCTCTGTTGGGTTCCTCTCCACTCATCACTCTTCCTTTTTGTTTAGAATAAGCCTAGTTATTATTTCTAGATTGCATTTCTATTTGGATTTGACACTTGGCTTGTGCTATTATTTTAAAACATCTGTAATGTATTTTTATCATAATCTTGGCAAGTTTATAGACCAACTTGGGGAGAATTGACATCTCTGTGAGATTGGATCTTCCTAGCCATGATAACGTTGTGTTTTCTTCATTCAGGTCTTCTTTTAAGAGCATCTTAAATTTTCCTTCACTAATTTATTTCGATTTCCAACACTTTCCTAACAGTACAGGTTTTTAATAAATTGCTTTGCCTGGTACCTCTCCTGCTGTAAGATTTCTCATGCAGAATCCTGTCACTAGCTCTTACTGCCCTTTCAGTTCCTCGCTTTACCCTTGATGTGTGTTTTGTCTCTTGCTAGACTGAGAAACCAAAGTCCCAGGGAATCTGTTTCTCAGTCTTTCTTTGGCTGTGTTATGACCTGGTCCGGTCAGGAAGCCCAGAGGAGGAGGAGGAGGGAAGGCAGAAGAGACCCAGAGGCTTTCAGTTGCCGCAGTGCTCCGTGGCGATGTGTCTCAGCCATTGCTCTGCGCTCTGGCCTCGCTCTGCCTGGCCTTCCCCAGCCTGTGTCCGTGTAGAGCTGATCTCAGCTGGAAGCTGCCTGCGGTGAGACAGACGCCACCCGCCCTTGCACAGCCACTTTAGCTTAAAGACACTCGGTGACACCCCCTTCGGCACAGCTCCCGGGCCTCTCAGTGCTTTCCAATGGCACAGTGTTTGCTTATTTAAAGAGATTTTTGGTCCCCTTTGTCTGTTAGATATGTTTTTAAAATTTTTGGAAAACTTTTGAAACATTTTTGACAAAATCCAAATGCTTATCATTTTGTGAAGAAAAGTTCACTATCATAGAATATTTATGATTTGGACTCAAAGTCGAAGATGTGCCGACTCTTGACGTGCGGTTTCTGGAATGAATTGCTGAATCTTTGCATATTCTCCTCAGCACACGGCTTATTAATTCTTGGTTCCCTCTGTCCTGTGTTTCAGCCTGGCTGGGTTGTTTTGGACCAACCAGACGCTGCTCCCCACTTGCAGCAGCAGCAGGAACCATCTCCCCTCCCTCCAGGATGGGAGGAGAGGCAGGACATCCTCGGGAGGACCTACTATGTGAACCACGGATCCCGGAGGACACAGTGGCAAAGACCAAGCCCCCAGTATGTGCTGCAGCTCTCACATGTGCAGTTGGGCCAGTTGCTGGCCATTAATTTCATTTTGAGTTCAGATCTCAGAGAGATCCAGAGCAGTGTAGAGGTGTAGGGACCCATTAAACTGTAAAGACCAGGGTGTGTGTGTGTGCGCGCGCAGTGCTGGGGATTGCACCCAAGGTCTTCCCTGAGCTACATCCTCAGCCCTTTTTCATTTTTCACTTTGATACAGGGTCTTACTAAGTTGCTAACTTGCCCAGGCTGGACTTGAACTTGCCACCCTCTGCCCCAGCCTCCTGGAGTGCTGGGATGGTAGGTCTGTGAGAGGTCAGGAGACTAAGATTTTATAGCCCAGGGCTTTAAAAAATGCTGTCTCGGGCCAGGGATTTAGCTCAGTGGTTCCACTGCCTTCCTCGCAAGCGCAAGGACCTGAGTTCTATCCCTGGTACCAAAAAAAAAAAAAAAAAAAAAAAATGCTATCTCAGCTGTATTTTTTAACCTGATTGATACTCAGAATCATTTGATTTAATTGGCTCAGTTTTAATTAATTATTAATTATATAGTTTAAAATGGTGCATTTCTTTCTATTGAAACTGACTTAAAAGATCTTGGAAATTTTATAGTTTTTTATTACAATATAATAACATGCTGTTTCCTCAGTGCCCTAGTTTTTTTGTTTTGTTTTTTTCAGTACCAGGGATCAAACTCAGGACTTTGTACTTGCCAGGCTGGTGCACTGCCAATGAGCTACATCCCCAGCACTAGCAGTGCGCTATTTTGAAAATACGAAATACTTGTAAAACAGAAGGGACCTAGTAATAAAGGCCTATTTTCAACACCCATCTCGCAGACTGAGCTCTGTACCCACGCCTTTCCTGGTGCACAGATCAGGTAGAATGGCCTCTGATGTGTCCCAGCTCACATCTCTTCGGTGACGTTTTTCTTACCATCAGACTGCACATGCATTTCCCAATTCTCTTTGTGTCTTTATTACCAACCCCTCCCATTTCTCCTCTCCGGTAGCCTGAGATGGCTTTCTGTAGTTTATGACTGTTGGATGCATTTTTATAGTTTTCTGTATTTGTCCATTGACCTCCTAATTCTTGGTTCTGATATTTTGTATCTGATATATCTCAAGAATTTTCAAAGGCATTTCCAGTTCACAAACCCTTCCAAAGTAAACCAGGGACCTAAGTCTTTCGTGGCCACAAGGAACTGATATCTGTGCAGTGATAGATGGAAGAACCAACGACACTAAAACTGCATAACCACCTGACTGCACCCCTCTGTGTTACGGCCAGCTGGCTTGACCAGAACCCTGTTTCTCTTATTATCACTGGTGTCATTTCAGGCAGCAAAAATCAAATATTTAGGCAAAAAAAACCAATCTGAAACATCTGTCAAACTCGTGTTTTAAGTAGCCACAGCACCCTAAGAATCGATCTCTTGAGTCTGGGGTGAAGGAACAGGCAGCAATACAAGCAATACACTTTGGTAGAAAAATACGTTTTGGTGGCTGTGGTTAAAAACATTGTATTGATATCTTCAAAAAAGTGTGAAGATTCGAATGTTCTCCCCACAAAGAAATGATCAATGTATGAGGTGAAGAATATGCTGAGTACTCTGATTATTAACAATATAAAATGTATCAAACGTCTCCTAGTGCCCCAAACACAATGTATACAACACCATGAGTCAGATTTTAAATACAATAATTACATAGTGCTGTATAGCTATACCTTGTCTCAAAATAAAAATACAAAAAGAACAGGTTTTATGACTGTCCCGGGCTCATGTGGTGTTAAGGAAGTTGATACTTCTGTTATTAGACATTGGAATAGAACCCTTAACCGGATAGCCTGGGTACATGAAGTGCAGATACCTGCCTAAGACAGTGTAGCTTAGAAATCACTGTGGGTGGTAGTTTCGTGCCCGAGCCTTTGCTCTTACCCTTCCCACTGCAGCCCGTGTCTGCTTACAAAATCAGGTACTGCGTAGCCCCCGCCAGTTTTGCTCTTGGACTCGGAGCCCTTGCCGTCTTCCATTCTGTTCCCTGTTCCAGTGTGGGGAACTCTGCTCCTTACTGAGACCGAGGCTAGCACATATGTTGCCTGATTCATGGAGATGTGCATAGCTTAAGAGCTACTTTAGATTTTACTCTTGTAACAACACTGTAAAATAGCACTGTAATGACGTCATTTGTGAAATCGCTCGTACTCACTCAACAAATATTTATGAGTACCTGTATGTTTCCAGCGTTATCCTAGGCACCGTGATACATTTTCACAGAACTGTGCTCCCAAAGGTGCTCTGAAGGTGCTGTGTGCCCTCAGTTTCATGTGTGCACGTGGAAGTCGCCTTTGGCCGACAGCAGCTCTGACATAATACTTGTTAATGGTCGCCTGTCATTCTGCCTTGAGAGTGAGTGGTGCTTTGTGTGCTCCCACGCAGGGACGACCTCACAGATGCCGATGGCAGTGACATCCAGCTCCAAGCGCAGCGGGCCTTCACCACCAGACGGCAGATATCCGAGGAGACGGAAAGCGGTAGCGCCCTGGAGTCCTCCGAGGTAGCACAGCTTCTGGTTCTGGCTGCCAGGCCCAGGGGACAGCGGCAGTGGCTCACGCTGAGGCTCACACTGACTCTGCCATTTCAGAACTGGGAGATCATAGGAGAGGAGGAGGCCGCAGTGTCCGGCCCTCAGGCCTTCCCGTCACTGCCCTCTTCGGGCCCCTTGGACCTTCGGCCTCACCTTGCAGAAGAATTGAGCGCCAGGCTCACTGTGCACGGAATTTCAGCCGCCAGCCAGCCAGCACCCAGCTCAGTAAGAGGCCCTCAATTATGTTTTGCTTCAGGATTTTCTATTACAAATATTCCACTCAACAACTAACTTTTCCGTAAAATTTTGTCTTCACTGATATGGGTGATGCATCAGGGACCTGGAGACTTCGTGGAGCGATCGTTTTTCAGACATCCCAGGGAGTGGTCTAGCAGGTCCCAGTGGTCGTTGGCATCTAAATACCTATTGTGTCCCTGCCTCTGGCCCAAAGCCTGCAGGAGCACACACCACAGGTGTGCGTGGTAGCGTGCTAGAAATGCTCACAGGGCTCGGGCACACGAGGGGCCTTGGAGGAGCAGGACAGTTGGGCCTTGCATGTTGGCCAGAAACAGTGGGCTCTGTGATTGCGCCTTCCAAATCTTACCTGGAGCAAGGCCAAAGCAAAGATTAGCGGGAAAGAGCACCACGCACTGCAAAGGCAGAGAGGTATTTCATGTTGTGTGGTATTCACATTTTGTCTGTGTTCAGATAAGATTAGGGAGTTACCTTTTTTTTTTTTTCTCCTGGTACTGAGGATCAAATCCAGGGGCTTTGCACTGAGCTACATCCCCAGCCCTTTATATTATTTTACTTTGAAACAGGGTCTAAGTAAGCTGCTGAATTGCCCAGACTGGGCTCAGACTTGTAGTCCTCCTACCTCAGCCTCACAGACTGCAGAGAATATAGTTGTGCACTGCCTGTGAGTTCCAGGCTGGCTCCTGGATGTCGGGAGCTGCTTTTCCCTCTCAGTACTTTGGAGTCTCTAACTGCTCGTCACAAGCGTTACTCACATGTGTGTGAAGAGAAGTTGCATGCTTTGATGGAGCCAGGAGATTGGTGACATTCTCACTTGGGTGCCACTGTGGGAATTGCTATCCAGAGTCCAGCCTAGGTCATGTGGATCTCACGCACAGGACTATTTCAGGAGATGCAGGGGACTCCTGAATTCACCAGGAATGGTTCTCAGACTTCTCCTTACGTAGTGGAGCTTTACCTCGTCCGCTGCGGTGTCCACTTTAGATTGTTTAGTTCCCTGTGACCACAGACAATGCCACCCTAGATATTCTGAGTTAATTGATATGTGTAATGTAAATCTGGATGTCATTTAATAGCAAAAGTGAGATGTTTCAGTGGTAACAACAGCCTATATATAAGGCAAAGGGAAGCAAAGAATATGGGGCTTCCAGGAAGCTAGGCTCAGGGCAGACAGAAGTCACTGAGGTTGGGAAGCATTGTGTCCTAAGGCTTGGGGATGTGGAGTCACCAGGAGCATGGGCCCAGCCTAGGCTGTGGACCACTGTCTGGCCAAGCTCACAGTATAGGCAGAAGGGAGTAAGACTTATGCAGAAAAAGCCAGTAGGATGTTGCTCTCATAATAATAAGACGACAAAACCCTGAAATTGAAAAGAAAAGAAAAAGCAAACTGGAAGGAGAATGTGTTTGAGAGAGCAGTAAAGAGTCAGAGGTGGGTCCTGGGGGGTGGGGGCTGGAGCAGGGCCTACAGAGCTAACACTGCCTACGAAGCTAAGGTGCTGCTGTTCTCTCTAAGAATCATTCCAGCAGAAGAGGCAGCTTGCAAGCCTGTACTTACGAAGAACAGCCAGCGCTTCCTGTGGTGAGTTTCATCCTCTTCCCTGGAAGATAAAAACCCAGCACCCTTTTATTTATTGCTTCGAGGGAACCCTGAGCATGAACGTCCAACTGCCCAGATGGCTTCCGGGGCTGGGGTGGGGCTGAGAGACAGGAGGCGGCGCTTGTGCAGGGTCTGTGGTGGGAGCCGGGCTGGGGACTGAGCCAGCGCTGTGCCTGCAGAGGTGGCCAGGCAGGGCACAGCAGCTCGGGTGCTGGTGCCTGGTGTCCCTCAGCCATTGGCCCTAGCGTGAGGGACTCCGCACCAGAGGCGGCAGCGCCCGGCCTCTCTCTGGTTCCCACCTGCCCTGGACTGGAGGTGGCCTGTGTTCCCCCACCTACCCTGTTGTCCCAAGCCCCGCACACCCGGCACTCTCGCCATTCTGTGGACCTTGCTTGTCTTCCAGCAACACTGAAACCTTGGCCCTGGCCTTCTCGGCCTGCCCTCTCCGTGTGCCCTGGCCCCACACTTCCTGGGCTCTTCCTTCCCAACAGACCCGAATCCTGCTCCCCTCTCGGGCCCTGTGCATATCCTTCTCTCCTCTTCCTGCCAGGCCATTGCAGTGTCAAATGGCAGCCTGTGTATTAATTTTGGAAAGTGGAATTTTTGCTTTCATGGAACCTCCAGCACAGGAATGCAGGAGTTCCAAAATCCTCCACTCCCAAGAGGCTGTGCTATCTAAGCAGTCAGCCCCACCGTACTGAGAGCACTGCAGGTCCAGGCCCAGGCCCACCCACTGAGACTCACATGGTCCCCATCTGCCGTGCGTCCCCCATGTCCCCACACAGTGATAGCATCTCTCTTCGGTGACGTTCACCCAGAAGCAGCTCCGAGTTCACCAGATGAGCAAGAGAACCTAGAAGTAATTTACGTTTGGTATACCAGAAAAGCTGTTCCCGTTCCTTCTCTCGATACACTTACTGGATTTGGTTTTGTTGTTCAGCTTTCTTGAGCATACCTTAAAGTCCACCCCTTCCCAGGTGTGAGTTCACACAGCTGAGCAGGCCCCTGCCGTCCCATCTCGTCCCTCCGGTCTCTGCCCCCTGCTCACAGCCCCTCTGCCCTCAGTGGCGACAGCTCTGCCTCCTCTACTCACAGAGGGAGTCTTGCACGTGTCCTGGGAGCACTGTGTCAGGTCTCACTCCAGTGTGCTATCTCCTGTCTCCGTGGCTTGTGAGATGCACCACGCATCTCTGTCCCCTCGACTGCGTGTACACCTAAGGCCCCGAAACTGTGCGGGAGACTGGCACTGCTGGTGTTGAGGTGGTGAGCCACGCTGTGCCTGGAGAGAATCCGTCTGGTTCACAACGACAAAAACAAGGCCAGGCCTAGGACTGTTGAAAGTAAACCTGGAAATAGGCAGAGTCACAAACCACAGGGACCAGCTGCCCCGCCCTTAGAGAGCTGCGCAGTGCCTGTGGACAGCCTGGTTGTATCTCGGCGTTGTCTCCAAGGATGTGGCCCTGCTAGTTGCCGCTGTCTTCAACGGCAGGGTACTCGGCAGCGCTGTCCTGAGATGGCACGGGTCACGTGACTGGCTGTGCCGAGCACAGTGCGTGGCTACAAGTGTGGGCAGTTTTGTTGGCATTTTGTCACGCTCATCATCATGGTGCACTCTGTTCTTTCCCCAAGAGAAATACTGCTCTCTTTTGAATAATTACAGCTCATTTTACTAAATTAAAAATGTCCATTTTACCCATTTTCTAGTGTAATAAATGGTTTTAGTTGAAAATAAAATATGGTTCATTTCAAAGAGCCAGCCATAAAGAAGGAAAGTGGCCCTCTTAACTACTGATTCTCTGCTCTTCGGCGCCTCAGCTTTTGCCTACTGCATCTGGACTACCACCAGGTTGGGAAGAAAAGAAAGATGCAAGAGGAAGGCCATACTACGTAGACCACAGCTCCCAAACTACCACCTGGACGAGGCCCGCTGTGCAGGTGCCTGCAGTCGTCCTCCTGTTCGCTTCAGGCTTTAGCTTTCACGCTCTGAGCCGTCCTGCCCCTCACGGTAGCCGTGGACTCTTCCAGCATCCTCCGTGCTGTGTACTCTTTCCTGTGCATCTCTTACCACACGAGTTACCTGTCATGATATAAAACAGGTCCAAATGGAGGGCGAGAGGACAGAGTGGACAGTCTGGTTTGTTGGCTGACTTTGTAATTGGAGTAGTTAAGATCATTATTTTGCTGAAAGATGATCTTGGTGATTAGGGTCCACTAGAGCAATTCACAGTCATAGCACTTTATCCCTGGACACAGTGAATGCTTTTGTAGTACTTCCTGTGTTTTATAAAATCCTTACTTTATCGTATCACTGGTTCTCTTACTGAGACATTTTTAACACTGAGAATGCAGAGAAAAATATAAGGAATCTTCATATTTCAACATCCAGAATATACCACCACCGACAGGTTAGCACATTCATTTCCAGAGGTTTTATTTTATTTTTTTTCATTGAGTTTATTGGTACATTTTAGGTCTACAGTACAGTTACATTCATTACTGGGATCCTGTACCTTTACATGACAGGTCTTGGTTCTCATTTTTTCCCCTTTCCTTGCCCTCCCTTCACCCCCTCCTCCCCTCCCCCTTTACAAGCACTTTTTTCCATTTTCTCATTTTCTCATATTTTTTTCTTTTCCCTTCTTTCCTTTCCCCTACCCTTCCCACTTTCCCTACACCTTTAGCCCTTTTCTTCCTATTTCACGTTGTCAATTATCTCTTTAGGATCTTATGTACTATTATATTTTTTCACACTAGAGAAACTATTCAGTATTTACACATGTGCCAGAGGTTTTATTTTTTAAAAACAGTCCTACACATAGGCTAAATTTTAACCCTCCCGGCCAAGCCATTGGTCCCATCCCCAGAGGGAATTACCATTCATAGTTTGTTATGTGTTCTTCTAGTCTATTTTATGTATTTGCACAGAGCAAAACAAAACACAGACTGTTTATGACCATGTGTTTCAAGTTTTGCAGATGTTATGCTACATAAGTATAAATCTTTTTCTTTTGCATAGCATTGCTCTAAAGCACTGTCTACACGAAGATGCAGTGTATTTCTTTTAACTACTAATGATTTATCATATGACTATATTACATTCCACTTATGCCATTTTTTATGCAGGGGACTGTACTCAGAGCCTTCACACTGAGCTGCATCCCTAGTCCTTTATTTTTTTTTTACTTTGAGACTGGGTCTCACTAAGTCACCAAATTGCCAGAGCTGGGTTTAAACTTGGAATCCTCCTGCTTCAACCTCCCAGAGTGCTGGGATTATAAGTGTGCACCACCACACCCGGCTACCACTGTGCTTTTTTGTGGTGGTTATTTGTCATTTGTTTTGTCTACCCAGCCTCTGAGCCTGCTTCCCCACACTGAGTCGTGGGGAGCAGAGCCCCACAACCACCACCAACTCGAGACATGATTCCTCGGTCTGACACCTCCACAATAGATCGGTAGGTTAATTGCCATCTCACTGCTGGAGAAGTAGCTGGGAAATCACAAATTATTATAAAAACAGAGTTTGACAACATTTTTTGTTGGAAAATTTGAGAAAAGTGCTATAAAGCTGAGGAAAAAAATAATAATGCCATCACTGGATGTGAGCCTCAGATGTTCAGCCCTGTTCACTAGTGTGTGTGGTTTGCAGGTTAAGCTTTCTTAAGTGTGGCTGTTTGACACTGTGGAATGCTGAGCTTGATTTCATTACTGTGCCAGGTCACCGTGGAAGCCAGCCAGCCAGCCTCTGGCCAGGGCTCCTCTGCCACCCTGCGGCCCCCTGAGAGTGGTACAGCCCCGCCACCGACCCAGCCAGCCAGGGTCCAGCAAGGACTCCTACCCCAAGGTTGGGAAGTCCGGCACGCGCCAAACGGGAGGCCTTTCTATATCGACCACAACACCAAGACCACCACCTGGGTAACTGGAATACTCCGCAGTTGATAGCAGTGTGTCCTCCACAGAGCTCAGTTATCCTGTCATTAAGTGTGCGTCACGTGACTGGCCTTTCCCCGCGTTCACTAAAAGATCAGTGTGCAGTAATACTACTGCTACTCCAGACCCACTTACACCTCTTGTTAATACTGTCTTGGAGGCATCCATATTTTATGTCCTATTTCCAGTTTTTAGCCTGCTCACTCTAAATGTTCAGGAAAACATTTAGTAATAATTCTTTACCTTTATCTGAGTCTTTATCATCCCAAAGCACTTTTGAATCCAAATTTCATTTACCAGCAAAAAGACTGCATATATCAGTAGGAAAGTATTTTTAAGGTGATTCTTGAAATAGTCTGGTAATTCAGTGAGGAAAAAAATCTGAATTAAGTTTAATAACCTTTCTTAAGGCTTACTTTCCTATCCTTCAGAAATACTGGTAAATGAACACATGATTTAGGAGGCAGAAAGCACGTTTGGGGTGTAGAAGTCACTTGTGGTTCGAGCCCCACCCCCAGTGCTTAGGGGAAAATTGTGTGGCGGCACAGTGCCCAGAGTGTGGTGAAAGGTCCCCTAAAGCAGACCAGTTCACCAGGGTAGCCTGAAAGTGAGAGCTTCAGAAGGAGAAACTATCCTGTAGGGTAAGGAAAGGAAGTATGAACGGGCTTTATAAGAGAGTGTTTTAAATACCCACGGATACTACAGAACCTGGTAACATGTTGACTTTCACTATTTTAAAATGTGTGTGCATTTGTTTTATTTACTTGCTCAACCCAAAAAGGAAGATCCAAGATTGAGAATTCCAGCTCATCTCCAAGGAAAGGCACCCCTCGAGTCTTCCAGTGATCCAGGGCCCTTGCCTGTAAGTTTCTGGAACTGTCCCCTGTCCAACCCGAATGTCTCAAGCAGTTTGTGTTTTTAATGTAGTAGTTCTTGACAACCATAAAAATCATCATTAAACTACTGACACCTCCTATTAAAATGGAATGTGCAGTCAAACTAATCAAATGTTATTTTTTACCCATACATCTAAAACCCTGTTCTGAAATGGCTGAATACATTTTTAATTACAGCCAGGATGGGAAGAGAGAACTCACACAGATGGGAGGATCTTCTACATAAATCACAGTAAGTGCAGTACGGCTTTCACGACGTTACTCTTGTAGTGCTGAAGTGAGTTTGTAAGTGAGAAAGGGCTGCTCCCTTCCTTTCAGATATAAAAAGAACACAGTGGGAAGACCCTCGGCTGCAGAATGTGGCGGTGACTGGACCAGTAAGTCTCGGGCAGGGCGGGGCCAGCTGGCATCTTCTCGGGCAGCCGTCAAGGGCGTGACCCAAGGCCTGAGGGAGGCACACTTGCCACTTCCTCCTGTGCCCACCACCCCGTTCCATGGCTCATGATGTGAAAAGACAGTGGAAGTCATGGCCCAAGCCTGCACAGTAACCCTGGAGGCTCAGAGCCAGACCTCGAATGCTCGGCGTGGGCTGCAAGCTGGCCATCCGGGCCAGAGCACCAGGGTGAGGCAGGACGGGCGGCAGCAGCCACTCCAGCTCGAGCCTTCACCTTTTTCCTACAATCACTGTGGACGTCCACTACGTGAGCTGTGCCTAGACTTCAGCATAAACATCACCATGTGATGATCACTGTACTCTCCAGCCAAGTTAATGACAGAAAAATCACTGTCCTCCTTATAGACCTGCTTTTTCCATTTTCGTTCAGATTTTGTTTTCTAATTGACAAAAATAAGTACAACCAAACAGTTTTCTTTATTACTGTCTAGTGTAATATTTTTAAAACAATGGCTAAAAAAGCCAATGCCTGGGAATTCAGGTGAAATGTACATTTTCAAATTGTTTCATTAATGGAGAAATAACTGAAAGTATTTTTAGAAATGGAAAGTTTTGTTTCTAATATTTCTCTACTTGAAATAAATCTCTTGTTTTCAGTAATGTTGCATGAGGAAAAATTACAGCCATAGGAATTGCTGAGTACAATTTTATCCTAAATAGAGAAATGAAAATTTTTCATTTGTATTTCTTTTCCCTAGAGTGAAACTTTGATTTCCATATACTCTCTTTTTTTGTCTTTAACTTGTTGTCCATAAAATACCCAGAGGGAACCTTGTAAAGTTTTTTCCAGAATTTAAAAAAAAAAAAAAACAACCAACTAAACTTTTTTTTTTTCCCCAAAAAAATTTCCACTAAAGGCAGTGCCCTACTCCAGGGATTACAAAAGAAAGTATGAGTTCTTCCGAAGGAAGTTAAAGAAGCAGGTTAGTGGTGTTTATCTTAAGTACTGGGAAATGCATTTTTCAAAGTAATAGAGAATTTGTTCTGTGTTTGAAACAACTTTGAGTGAATGGTTTCTCTTGGGGAAACTGCTTATTTTTCAAACCATAATTACTTCACGTCTGTTGATTTTTTCAAGATACTTTAATACAGAAAACTCGTAGGGAAGGTGCGCGTGAGCCAGGGTTCTCGGGGGCGTGGGGCCGGGTCTGTGGGGTCCGAGCTCCGTTTCCCGCGGTGGACGCTCACTCTCACAGCTCCACACACAGCCTGCTCTGCACGGAGCACACGGGGACAGCCGGCGGGACCGCTGCCCTCCTCACTTGTCCCTCGTGCTTGTCAGATGCTTTCTTCGTGCTTTCGGTCACCGCAGGGTGACGTCGCCACTGCCCCTCGATTCCTGGCCGCTGGTGCTGGCCGCTTTCAGCGCCCTCCTCCTTAGTCCCTCCTCTTGCCTTTCCCTGCAGTTTAGCAGCACTTCCACAAGGTGGCAGTATTGGGTCGCGCGTTCTGGGGTTTTAAACTGGAACACGGCTTCCCCACTCAGGATGGGCCAGCTTCCTCGAGTGCACGATTTCATTCTGAAGTTCATCAAAAAATGGAATATGATAGTTTGTTAGTGTAGTTATTTATGCCCTAGAAAAATCCTTAAATGCCAGCAACCTGGTAAACTCTTCTTAAAGAATAGCTCTGTGTCTAAATTACTGAAATCTCTCTGACTTATAGGCTTTGGGATCTTAAATCTTTGTTAATGATTTTTCTGGTAAATATTTTTATTCTTACTGAGATTGGGTTGGTGGGAGAGAAGTTCCAGGGCCTACGTTTGTCACTTGGACCTGGTGAACATGTTAGATATCTGTTCATGTCTTCCAGGCAGCAGAGATGAGGGACGAGGTCTTTGTTAACAGGCCCCCAACGCTAAAGATTCTAATAAAAACAGTGTTTTTGGTTTCTCACTGCGTTCCAGGCATTCTTCCCAGTAGGCTTCAGATATTGTGGATTTGTTCTCTACATGCTGTGAGGAAGGGGCTGTTACATTTTATAGGAGAGGAAAGGAAACTGAGTCACAGAGAGGTTAGGTAGTGTGACCAGTTCCACATTTATTAGGGGAGAGGCTGGATGCACACCACATGGTCCAGCTCCAGAGTATGCAGTCCCAGCCAACAGAGTGTGTCACGCTGGCAGTCGAGAGAGAGGCTTTGTGTGGAAATTGTCCAGACTTCGACAGAGGTGTGTGAGGGATGAGCATCCGCAGCAAGGCTGGGGTGTGGAACTGCTCCGAGAGAGGCTCAGGTACATGGGGAGATTCTGGGAATCCAAATCCTCAGATTAATACAGAGTCGCAAGTAGGATTTAAAGATTAAAATCCACATCCAGAACCCTCGCAGCAAAACAACAGAACACCAAAACAAATTAAAAAATACTAGTGAGCAGTGCTGGGTACCTCGAGCTGTCTTAACCTCCCTTCCTCTTTGGCCGTAACTTCTCCTTGCCTAGGATGGTGATGACCAGTAACCCTGGAGCACAGTGTGAGCCAGGTACTGTGCAAACACTTTAAATACACCATGCCATTAAGCCCTGAAACACCTCTAGGAGGGAAGTTTGTGTCATTTTCCCTGTTTGCAGAGGAAGAAACAAGCTTTAGAGAAGGTGAGCACCATACCAAGCCACTCACCTGGCACACGGTGGAGTTAGGATTTGAACTTGGGCCTGCCCTCACCTCCTACTGCAGTCTCTGTGCCGGCTCCCTGATACCATCTCCCTCTTGGGTCCTCTGTCGTCTCTTGCTTGGGCTCCACCAGGGTCTTCCCTGAGCTACCTTTTGTACCCAACCTGGGCATCGGGTCCCGTGAAGCCTCGAGGCTCTGTGCTCAGAAACGCTCCTTCACCCTCTCACACCATCTGCTCCCGGGCCCCAGAATGGTCCGCCACCTGCCTTCACCGCCTTCACCTTTCCTCCCTGCCCTGCTCTCCACCTGCTGTGCCTGGAGCTGTGGAAGTCTCTTCCTTGGTCCTCCCCACCTGCCTCTCACAGCCTCCCAGGTGACCCATTTGCAGTTAATCCCTGTCTCTCCTATGCCCGGGAACCTTGCTTCAGGTTTCAGAAGGAGCAGCATTTCCGCTTGTTTCTCTCTGCACAACCTCACCTTCTGCCTGTCCCTGTTCGCTGGCCACACGGTGGTGCCACCCAGCTTGGGCCTCGACGTCCCAGCTGCCCGGGGACCCGTCTAAAGCAACCACTTTTCTCCAGTCATACTGTTACTAAGTTGCACTTATAATGTTTGTATTGCTGACATAAACTACTCAGACCAATATATTTCTATAGGACTTTGTGTTTTCCCTGAATATACTGAGAGCGTCTTTGAAGTTTTCCTTAGTGCTAAACTTTTCTTTCCTGGAGTGACAGAATGTCCTTAGCTTGTGTTCTCCTAAAGGTTTCCACTTGAACGTTGTGCATGAAGCACTCAGGAATAAAATGTCCAGGTATTTTAATAAAATGTACAGTAAGATCTGCCCAAGCGTGGTTACATACATGTTTCACACAGTGCGGGATCAGGGCACTCCAGCAGATACTGAGGCTTGTTGCTGAAGGGCGGACTGGGAGCCAGTCCTGCATTCACCTCAGTTTCTTCACCTGTGAGGGGGACTTGGGGACAGTGGTAGCTTCTTTGTTGTGTTGATGTGAAGAGTGAGGGGTTGGCTGTGGAGATGCAGTGAGGGTGCCTAGCACAGCCTGCTAATGTTGGGGAAGGAGGAGCCGAAGGAAAAGCCAGTAGTGGCCAGGAGCTTCACAGAGCGGACTCCCTGGGAACCGGGCATGGGAAGTGCTGTGCCTGAGGGATCCTCGCTGCCTACAGCTTTCCCAGAGCAGAAGCGGGAAGTCTGCCTCTGAGCGATCAGGGACCAGGCCGCAAGGGGTGTCAGGGCTGAGGGCCTGTCCCGGCTCCCCGGGCAGAGTGGGGCGCAGAGAATCTGGACATCCAGGGAGACCTGATCGAGTCCCTGGTCGAACTGATTTTAACCAGAAGCCTCTCTCTCTCTCTGGCTTTCAGAACGACATTCCAAACAAATTTGAAATGAAGCTTCGCCGAGCAGCTGTGCTGGAGGGCTCTTACCGGAAGGTCATGGGCGTAAAGAGAGCAGATTTCCTCAAAGCCCGGCTCTGGATTGAGTTTGATGGCGAGAAAGGCTTGGACTACGGAGGGGTTGCCCGGGAGTGGTTCTTCCTGATCTCCAAGGAGATGTTTAATCCCTATTATGGGCTGTTTGAGTATTCCGCTACGTAAGTGCTCGGTGGTGGATTTATTAAGAGGGGTCTTACTGTGTTGCCGAGGCTGGCCTCAAAACTCCGGGCTCAGTGACCGTGCAGCCTCGGCTCCCCGGGAGGTGGGAATAAGGTGTGCGCTGCTGCACCAGGCAGAGATCTTTGAGTGCCTTCGTGCATGGGAGAAAAACTGCTGTTCTGCGAGTGATGGGAGGGTCGCTTGATGCACAGGCAGCACGTGTTGTTACAGTGCGCCAGAGGAAGGGGTGAGGACGAGGACTGTGGACGTTTCACAAGTTGTGGTGCCGCACGATACATGCAACATAAGATGTCCCGTCTCAACTGCTTTAACCCGGGGTTCCCTGGCTTTCAAATCCACTCACACTGTTGCTAACCAGCTCCGCCCTCCATCTCCAGAACGCCCTAAAAGTCCGTGTTCCTCACCCCTCTGTGCCCGCTAAGCCTTGACCCATCTCTGGCAGCGCCATTCTGCTCCGTTCCCCTGACTTGGCGCTCTGGGTCCCCACCGCAAGTACACGGTGCCGTCTTTGTCCTCCGTGTCTGCTACTTCACTCCGAGAGGCGTCCTCGCGTCCACCCATGTCGTGCTCAGAGCAGGACTTCCTCTGCGTTCCTCTGTGCAGCACAGTTTATTTATCCACTCATCTGTCCATGGGCTCTCGGGTTGTTTTCGCCTTTTGGCAAATTTTGTTTCAGTGCTGGGCATCAAATCCCAGCCTGGACTTTGCTAGGCAAATCCTCTACCACGGAGCAACACCCCTAGCCCAGAAAGTTGTTTTTTAAAACCAGAGGTCACGTGAGGTTCTAGTAGAGAGAGGTAAGTAACTAAGAAGAGGGAGAAAATGTATCATTATGTGTTGTATTGAATTTTTCTGTGCTGTATGAAGAGGGGTATTTAAATATGCTTATCTGGCTGAGGATTTAGCTCAGGGCTGCTGTGCCTGCCTGCCAAGTGTAGGGTCTGAATTTCGTCCCTGATACTGAAAAAAACAAACACACAAACAAAACACATGCTTGTCTTCACAGGGATAATTACACCCTACAGATAAACGCCAACTCCGGGCTATGTAATGAAGATCACCTCTCCTACTTCAAGTTTATTGGCCGGGTCGCAGGGATGGCAGTTTATCATGGCAAACTGTTGGATGGTTCGTGTTAAGTATAAAACTTCTTTGGATTGTAACTGCTTTCCTTAACTTGGTAAGCATTTTAAATATCTTTTATTTCTTGCAAGGTTTCTTCATTCGCCCGTTTTACAAGATGATGCTGCACAAGCCTATAACGCTGCATGACATGGAGTCCGTGGTACGTCTCGCTGTGAGCATGGATGAGTATGGTCTGGTCCAGCAGGCGGCTAGACAGGCTGAGGATTAGCTTTTGAGTTGTAATGTCTCAAAACACAAACGAACATCTCCAACATTTGATTATGAAAATTTCCTAACATCTGCTAAAGGTGAAAGAATTTATCCACCACCCACATTGGCTTTTTTTCTGCTTCTGCTTTATCTTATGCCTACATCTGCGAAGGGGTCAGGTCTGTTTGCGCATTGCAGAGTAGGCTGCAGATCCCCGCTCCCTCCCCAGGCGTGTCTCAGGGTAGTGCAGCTGCAGACCTCTTGCATCCGTGCTTGGATTCTGTGACCTTTTATGATAAATGTCGAGTTTTAAACAGTGGCCTAACGTAGTATGAGGCTCTGAAAAGAGCAGGTGCCCAGGGCCAGTGCCCTGTGTTGGCTTTGGCTGAGTTACACCCCTGGGGGCACTGGGCTCCTGAGACCCCTTCCTAGAACTGCATGTGTTTCACTCCTTTCTTTGCAAAGATCCTGGCTGCAAACAGGTGGCTTTTCATAACTCGCGGGATCAGTTGTTTGAGTGGGTCAGTTGAGCTTTCATATTTAATTTGTGATTTTTCTTTAACTTGGGCCTCCTCGTAGCTACACACACCTTTTGCACAGCCTCCTAGGTCATGTGAGGACAGCGTGAGACTTCCGGGCCATCCATGAGTATTGGAGTTCTTTTTGCAGATTGCTTTATTTATCCCTTTAAGTTGCTGCTTCCACATAAAGATAGATTTCTAAACTTTCATGGCGCTAGGGCTTGAACCCAGGGCTTTCTCACTAAGCCACATCCCCCGCCCATTTTATTTTTTCATTTTTAGACAGGGTCTTCCCCTCTAAGTTTGAAGGTGAAATCCTCCTGCCTCAGCTTCCCAGAGTGCTGGGCTCGCTGGCCTGGGCCACCACACCTGGTTTCACACTTTTAAGTAGGCGCTACTCTCCCAGTTGCAACACTTTTTCTCTCACACTTGCTTTTGTCCCTTCCTTTCTGTAGTGTGTGTGTGTGTGTGTGTGTGTGTGTGTGTGTGACAGAGAGAGAGAGACAGACAGACAGACAGAGAGACAGAGCGATGTCCAGGTGTCCCTTTCACCTGTCCTCAATTATTTTTTTTCCAAACTCAGGTGTCTTTATATGTACAATTTTTAAATGTGATTTTTTTCCATCTAGGATAGCGAGTATTACAATTCATTGAGATGGATTCTTGAAAATGACCCAACAGAATTGGACCTCAGGTTTATCATCGATGAAGAACTTTTTGGGCAGGTTTGTGAATTTTACTCAGTAAAAATGATGTATAATTTGTGAAGCAGATCTAACTTAGGTTTTAACATTAATACATGCACTCAATACATTGCTCTGTTTTTACATTTATTTTTCAGTAACAAAAGCTATCTCTCAGCAAGAATGTGTGCTTTCTTTGACATTTGACTCATTCCATGTTTACTTCAATGAAACTAATATTTTAAATTTTCTTAGCATTTAGCTTTTTGAATGGATTTCATTGAAAACTCCAGGGTTCTCGCATAACTATAATATATACACATTTTATTTCTCTTGACAAAATAACACAAAAGGGTGTCTTGTTTAATTTTAGACACACCAACATGAGCTGAAAAATGGTGGCTCAGAAATCATTGTCACCAACAAGAACAAAAAGGAATATATTTAGTAAGTATTTTATTGGTGCGGTAGAAGCACTTTTATGCTTTATTCCATGAGCATTTTCCTCACACTCTTCCCCAGTCCAGAATGGCAATGCTTTTCTCTTCTTTGGAGTACCTCTTCATATTCAGCTTTTACTGTGGGCTTAATAGTCTTTATTTTCTGTTTCTAATGGGCATAAATAAAGTTTTTCTTGGTTCATATGAGAAATAATTGCTTTTCTTTCTAGCCTTGTAATACAATGGAGATTTGTGAACAGAATCCAGAAGCAAATGGCTGCTTTTAAAGAGGTATTTATTTCTTTTTTTGGCCCTTTTTAATGTCCATTATAAGTGGAAGTCTCAAAATATGTCACATGGTTTCTCTAACATGAGAAACCCAAATTAAAGAGCAAAATAAAAGATAATAGGAAGTAGAGAGACCTTTTTCAAATGAGAGTGAGGAGGAAGGAGAGGAAGAGGGGATGGAGGAAATTGAAGGAAAAAATGGAAATAGAGCTTTTGCACATGGGAAGGGGACTAAAAGTTAGAAAGGTTAGGGAGGGAGGGTGGGAAAGGAAGGGGCAAGAAAATGATGAAGACATTCTGTCCATGTGCCAAATCCCCAGGAGGAACGTAATCATTGCTGCTGCAAATGTGGACTAATGAAAATAAATAGAAAAATAAAAGTAAAAGCTCACTGATGTGCCAAAAAAAAAAAAAAAATACTGGGCCTCACTGCATCTGAAAAAAATGGCTTTGTAAAACTGTTTTATATTAATTAAAATATCCCACAAGTAGATATTTGCTACTAAAATGCAGGCGTGAAAGGGTCTTACAGTAGCTGCTGACTGCTTTGCTACCTCCCAGTCCCACCTGTCACCTGCTGTGGCCTCAGGAGGATGGGTTGAGCATGCTGTTGAGACATGTGGGTCTGTGCTGTACTTTGTTCCCTTTTTTATTGGAACCCAGGCTGTTGGAACAGGCCTATAAGCTTAGCTCCCTGGGAGGCTGAGGCAGGAGGATCACGAGTTTGAGCCTGAGCAACTTAGTGCCTTAGAGGGACACTGTCTCAAAATAAAAAATAAATAAAGGGCCGAGGGATGGCTGTGTGTGAAGGCCCTGCGTGCAGTCCCTAAACCACCAGAAGTATCCCGAGAGACCTTGACACACCCTTCTTGGTGGCATCTTATTCATAATATAAATTCGCAAGCTCTTTGAACTTTCCAAACCAGCTGCACTTGGCTGTGGTCAGCTCCTTGCTGTCTCTCTTTTTCTTCTCTTCTTTTTCTGAGGATTGAACCCACGCTTGGCCAGTGGTGGTGAACCTGTGGCACATGTACATCCGCCAGCTGATTATAATCATTGAAAGCCCTAAAAGGGTTGCCATCACCGTGCTAGGCAAAGTACTACACTCCCAGTCTCGTGTTATTTTGTTTTTCTGTTTCAAGACAGTCTTGCAAGGTTGCCCAGGCTCTGCTCAAACTTGTGATCCTCCTGCCTCAGCCTCCCAGGTAGCTGGGATTACAGGTGTGCAGCAGGGTACCTGAGCGGACGCCTCGTTTCTAGAGCTAATTTAACAGCACATATTCAGTATTTGCCCCACGCTTCATCCGTTGCTCAGTGCCGACCACTGTCTGTGTGAGGCACGGGACCTGCCCTGGAGGAGCAGATGTGGAGAGGCGGGCATGGTCTTGGGCAAGGGCAGCAGCAGGTGGGCAGTGGCCCCACGTGAGGAGGAGCCATCCTGAGCCCCAAGTGCGCTGCACACAGGAGGGAAACAGCCGCTTGTCCGCTGGACGGGGCGACAGGCTCTGGCCTGAGCTGGGAAGACCCAGCTGTGGGCTGTTACGCATTGGGGCCTGGAGGTCGCTGAAGTCCAGGGGAAGGAAGGTGGCCATTCGGTAGCGTAACCCAGACTCGAGTCCGTCGGGTCCTGTGGAAGCGCGGTGTAGCCTGAGGGAGCGGGCGGCCCTGTGAGGACGCACACCGTTCAGGCCTCCGCGGAGCCAGCTTGGGAGGCTGCTGCATGGGCCCAGACCTGAGCGGCCATACCTTGGGACTGTTGCTGCGTGCCAGGCTGAGAACCGGAGACGGAAATGAGAAGCTGCACCTTCCTGTGGCCCACAGACGCGGGGCCGCCAAGGAGCCCCCAGGCCAGGGGGAGGGGAGGAGGCCAGGGGTCAGCTGAGCCGCCGCCGTCCAGCACTGGCCCAAGCGTGGTGCAGGACATCATGCACCCTGGCCACGCTGGGAGTCGGAGCTGCCGGGCTCAGACTTGGGG